CGTGTCTGCTCACAGGTATGAGGTGCAGGTTTGATAAGGAAGTAGAAAGATTAATAAATGTCTTGGAAATAGGAGGCACTGGAGGCTTCCACTCTTATTTGTGGCAAGTGCTAGTGGCACACAGCCTCCTTTAGCCTGGGCAGGTGAAGCATTGTTGTTTGGCTTTGAGTGGTGGTAACCACAAAGCTGGCTTTTTATCACAGTCTGCTATTCTCTGGCTTGTGACTGGAGCATTTACCAAAAGCCTGCGTAATAAAGGGGAGGAAGTGTCTACTGTGGCTCGCTAAAGGTCCTTTCTCTCATTCTGTCTGTGTCTCACCTTCTACCAGACACAGAGAGGTTCTTGGGTCACACAGGTGAGGCAAGACCTGAGCACATCCTAGATTTCCCCTTTCTCATCTGTAAGCATCACGGGCTCTGAAAGGAAACCCTCTACCCTTTATGCTGCTGCCGCTCTACTCCCTGCCCAGCAGCCTGGGAACCACTCAGCCATGTTCTCAAGGGGCATCTCTGGCATCTCTCCCTGAGCACGCTGTTCTGTGAAGCCTGTCTCTGTGCCCCATTCCTTCCTGGGCCAGGTACTACCCCATGTGTAGACACACCAGGGTCTGTGATGGGCATCTGAGCTGTCTTCATCTTGGTTGCATGAATAGTATACTGTGACCATGTGTGGACATATACTGTATTTGTTTGGGTCCCTGTTTTCAGTTCTTTCAGGCCTGAGTCGCTTGTAATTCTGTATTCTCCACCCACAAAGTGTAATTTGCTGCTGGGTATATAGGGTTCTTGGTTGACAGACTTTATATATATATATTTTTTTTTTAATTTTCAGACCTTTTCAGATGCTATCCTGTCATCTTCTGTCCTCCATGGTTTCTCCTGAGAAGCCAATACTCTCCCACTGTGTTTCTGTATACAAACACAGTCACTTCTCTTGGAATATTTTGGGATTGTTTCCTTGTCTTTGGCTCCCAGTAGGCTGTGACATATGTAAGTGTGAGCATCTATAAGTTTATCCTGCTTAGAACTTGGTGAGCATCGCAGATGTGCAGAGTAGTATTTTTTCCGGATGTGAGACATATTGGACTGTGGTTTCCCAGGATCTTCTCTGCCTGGTCTCTCTCACTACCCAACTCCATGTGCCTCAGCAGTTCTCTTGGTGGCATCTTGTGACTGTGAAGCTCATCTTATCTGGCCTCTTTGCAAGTTTGATGATTTTTTTTTCCTGCTCAGGTCAGCTGGTAAGCCCCAGTTTTCATTTCAATTGTTACATTTTTCAACTCTAGAATTTCTCTCTGTTTTGTATTTTATTTTATATTCTGTTTTAAAGAGAATAAAATGAAGCAAAACTAAACAGAATAAAATCAATCAAAACAAACCAGTGTAAGAGACACAGGACTTCAAAACAATATGAAATAAACAATGGTTACCATAATGCCTCTTGTTGTCTTCAAAACAGCTGCACATACCGTCAGGCATAGTAAAAATCAAACAAAATGAAACAGAATAGAACCAATAAAAACAAAAAAATGAATACAAAAAAGAACTTCAAGACAAGACAATAGTAAATCCAAAATGGCTACCATAATATATTTTGCTGTCTTTGAAATAACTGCCCATGACATTGGACATAACAGAATTAAACAAAACAAAACAGAATAAAACCCAACCCAACAAAACAATGAAAATGATACAGGACTTCAAAACAATGGCTACCACCTTCAGAAAGAGATCTGCATAGATGCCACAGTGCATACCATTATCCTCTGAGGAGATGATTAGACCACTGGCCCTAGCCCTGCAAGATCAGTGAAACACCAAACATCACAAGCATCAAATTGCATTTCACCTGAATAGCTATCATCCCAGCCTGTGTTTCTCTGGATCAACTGGTTGCTTAATGGAAGGGAGGGGATGGGGTTGGCTATTCTTGCTTCTCACCCTGCACTGGAAGGGGCTGAGTTCTGGCTGACCCTTCAGTGGTGGCAGCCTGCTCATGGCAGTTTTGCAGGAAGGGCTTGCTTCTTGGTGAATTCTTGTTCTGTGTTTTTTATTTTAAAAACTAATTTCTAACTTTTTTATTGTCTCTATTTGGTGAGACAGATTCTGTCATTTGTTCCTCTAGTTCTTTAGACAAGTTTCCATTACTATTTTTCTTTTTTTAAAATTTGAGCAAGGGTCTCACTGTGTGACCTGTGCTGGCATCAAACTCACAGTGATCCTCCTGCCTCCGTCTCCCAAGTGCTGGGATCACAGGTGTGTACCACCATTGCCTTGCTCCTTTACTTTTGAAAAATCACTTAAAATAACTTGTTTAAAGTCTTTGTCTAGTAGTGCTTCTTCAGAGAACACTTTCTTTTAACTCTTTGTCTTTTCACACATGGGCCATACTTTGTTTCTTTTAGGTCCTATAAATTTCTGTTGAAACCTAGACATTTAAAATAATGTGACAGTTCTGGAAATCAGATACCACCCCCTCCCTGCCTGCCCAATCATTTGTTGTTATAGTTTAGTAACTGTTCTAAATGAGTGATAGGAGGTCTATGTTCATTGTCATGGGTGACCCCTTAAAGTCTCTGCCCATTTAGTTAGTGGCCAATTAATTGGACAGAGACTCCCTCATGCCTGGACTGTGTATCTTGGTCAAGGGGCTCTACGTGCATGTTGGGTCACTCTGTCAGTGTTCACACAGGCAGCTAACAGCGCTGCTTGTTTTACTTCCTGCTTGTACAGAGCCTTGAGGTCAGCCAGAGGGTAAGCTAGGCCTTGAGCAAGCCACAGCATGATTTTCTACATGCTCCAGGGATAACTCAGTCCTGGGTTTTCCATTTAAGCTTTCTGAGCAGGCTACAGTTTGCTTGAACTGTTATCTTCTACTTTCTTGCTGTTAAACAGTTGCCTCTGATTATCCTCAGTGCTTTCCCAGAGATAATGGTTGTTACAGAGGCTGTTGGGCAACTCCATAGCAAGTTAGACAGAGGCAGCTTGCTGATAGAGTCTTCCAGGGAGCCACCTGAGTGAAAGAATAGTGACAGGTCTCTGGGACAGGTACTTTGAAGGAATTCATACCGACTCTCCCCACTGTTGCCTGCAGCTGCTGCTTTCACTATGGTTGTGGCAATTGGGTTTCAAGAATACTGCAGAGTTGGGAAGGAGGATGGGAACAACAGATTAACATGTCCCTCCTGTTCTCATCAAGACTCTACCATCTTTCTCTTAAGGACATTGCAAGCTCAATCTTTGGTCAGTTCCAAAGTTCAGGGAAGGCTGATGGGGTCCATCTAACCTGTGTCTCTTTCAGGAAAGAGAGGCTTTTTGGCTAATGGGACTTGACCACGTCTGCTAACCATTTAGTGTGCACTCAGGCTAAGGTTACGTCCTGTGCATGTGTCCCAAAGCCAAGGGAGAAAAGAAAAAGTAACGCCTCTGAGATGTTTATCAGTTACCATTTATAAATGGTGGAATATTGTAAATAAGTAACTTTGGGGGAAATTTGGGGTCACACTGTTAGGCAACTGTCAACAATGTAGAGGAAGGTGGTTTGTCACACAGAGCTCTGGTGCCATGCTTAGAAGGACTGGATCCAAAACTGGCTCTGAGCGTGATAACCCACAACGTGGAACAAGGTAATTAGCTTCTCTAATGAATAGCTCAGTTTCTCCTCCGTAAAGTGATGACAGCACCACAGGGGTGTGGTGAGGCTTTAAATAAAAGAATCCATGTCACATGCTTGGCCTGGCCAAGTGTGTAATTACTGTTTTTGTATTTACTGTCGTTCAAGAGAAAACTTTCTGTGACAGAATGGTATAAGTTGGCAGGATATGAAATTGTATGCATACTATAGCATGTAAAATATTTCTTTTTAAATTAAAAAATTTTTTGTTCAATTTTATTGTTTTCAATACTTGATGATCACATTCCTCTGGTGGAATTGATACAGGTGCATTACATGTCTCAATTCTTTTTTCATTACCTCCTGCTGCATCTTCTGGACCCCCTTCCATTTGCAAAAGATCTATCTCCCTATTTCCTATTTGCATTCTTTTATTTTGCTCTTGGGTTATACTTTTCGGTTTCTCATATAAGAGAAACTATGCAATATTTAAGCTCATGTGTCTGATTTATTTTACTTAACATTATGGTTTCAAGGTACATCCATTTTCCTATAGGTGGCTCAAGTTATTCTTCTTTATAGCAGGGTAGTACTCCATTGTGTATAAATATCACATTTTCTTTATCCATTCATCTGTTAAAGGCTCTATAGGCCATTTCCAAAATTCAGCTCTTATGAGATGTGCTACCATAAACATGGGCATGCATGGATCCCTGTAATATGATATCTTTAACTCTTTTGGAAAGATGCCTAGAAAGAGAATAACTAGGTCAAATGTAATTTCTAGTTTTAGTTTTTTTGAGGAATCTGCATAATTTCTGTAGAGGTTGTACTAGGTTACATTTCCACCAACAAGGTAGAAGGTTTCCTTTTTCTCTACAGCTTCTCCACTATTTGATTTCTTGATAATAGCCATTCTTTTGGAAGTAAGATAGACACTCAGTATTATTTTAATTTACCTTTCTGTAATGGCCAGAGATATTGAACAGTTTTTTGTGTACTTACTAGCTACTTGAAGAACTTCTTTTGACAAATGTCTATTCATTTCAATTGTCTGTTTTTTATTGGGCCTTTTACTTTGTGGGAGAGTCTGAGGTTTTTTTAGTTCTTTTTATGTTCTAGATATTAATCCTGTATATATTCTAGATATTAGGAATAGCTGACAAAAATTTTTCCCATTCTTTAGGTAGTCTCTTCATTCTGTTGGTTGTTTTCCTTGCTGTGCAGAAGAGTTTTAATCATGGCTAATTGGAGCACTGTATGCCTCACTTACCTTGGCAGAGTGGAATGACAGAGGCAAGTCCTGCATGGTGGCTTATAGGGGCTGCATAGTCTGTGCCTGTGCTGGCACTCTGTGAGGGTGATGGTGTTTGTTTTCCTCTTGCAGGTTCCGGGGTGCTCCGATTATACCTGTAGCAGCCAAACCTGGGGGACCAGAAGCCCCTGAGACTGAAGCCCCACAGGGGATCCCAGAACTCATTGAGGTACTGTCTGCTTGAACACAGGTCATCCTAAGCCAAGCCTGCTTGGGTAGGCGCGTGTGGCCCCCTTCCCTGAGGGAGGGGAGAGACAGCCCCCTCGGGAGACCTGGCTGGCTCCCTTCACTTCCCTGCTCAGGAGGAGGGACAAAGACCTCACTCCCATAAGAGTAGCAAAGACTAAGAACTCTCAGGCCTCAGAGCCCAAGACTCTGAGGAAGCCACACTTCCTCCTGTGTCTTACTTTTTCCTTCTTGTCACTGCCTCTACCCAGATGAAGCAGTACCCAACACTGGAGCCTTGTGGCCAGTCCCCCATTCCTACCCTCAGATTGTGCCAGTTTCTTTGGTGAGGTCCAGACTGTTCCTCCAGACTCAGCTACAGTGAGGGATTTGATGGCCAAGGCAGCCAGCAGGGGGGGCATATTGGGTTCTGGTGGGCACCTAAGAGGATGACAGTGAGGGTAGGACCATCAAGTTCCTCTATGAGTGCTCACAGGGGCAGGGGTGCCTGGGCTGGACACTGCATTCTATCCTGGTCTGTCACCTGCTTTCTCTGGGAACCCAGGCAAAGGGTCTGCTCAGAAGCATTGGCCCCTGGGTCTTGTAGGGTCTTAAGTGAGATATCCGTACTTGCTGTGGCAAAAACTGAGTCCTCCACAAAGGTGATAGCTAACATCCACAGCCACCCTGAAGGACCTGAGCAGTTTAATCCCTGTCTCACCAGAGAAACACCAATACTCACACAGGGTCAGTGGCCTAGCCCAGCTCTCACAGCATGTACTTGGACCCATAGACCCGAGGTCAGGTATGGCTTCTGTGATTCACACAGAGCTGACTGGCCTGCCTTGCAAACCAAATATCTGGTGAAGCTTCTGTCACCTCTTCCTCAGCTCCAGAGCACACTTTATATGGGAGCCGGGGGACTGTTGTCTTTGTTCAAGCAAAATCCACAAAAACATGCCTCTGAACGATGTTTGTCTTTTCCATTAAGAGGCCTCTGCCCACATAGCAAACCAGGTCTGCTTGGAAACGCCAGTCCTTTTCTAAAAGGATTATTATCATAAGACTAGAACTGGCACACTTACCTCCCATACTTTTTTGACAACCTGTTCCTGTATGAAATCAAAAAGTAGCTTAAGGAAAGTCCTAACAGAATATTTGTGTTCACCTGATTCATTCTGTAATCAGCTCTAGCAATATCTCAGAGCACATGATTCTGTTTGGAGAGTTGACTGGCTGAAGCATGTGTGAAGTCAGTGGGGAGAGGAAAAGTGGGAATGGGGCCATGGGAACATAGGACTAGTCCTCTGTTCCTGCTATGGTTTGACAAAGTGGCAGGAAGGCTCCAGGTCATGTTGCACAGCTCTTGCCTAGAGCCTCAGGCCCAGGCAGCAGCCATTGCAGCCACCATCTCTCCTCCTCCCTTCTCGCATCCCCTGTCCCTCCTTCACTTATCCTTTCCTCTGGCCGGTGCAGCTACCATGGATGTTTAGAATCTCCACTGGAGACAGAGAGGTGAGCACACTATTGCTCTGACTATGGTGATCTTACAGGAACAGCTTTTCAGAGAGGGAGAAGGGTAGCTGCTGGGTTCCAGCCTATGGCAGGGTGGAGGGGCCTTGGGAGCCCCCACAACAGCTCTCCTTTGCAGCTGTGGAGACTTGGCAGGAGTGCCATCAGGAGGGCTGGGGTAGCTGAGCCGAGGGTGCAGGAGCCCAGCAGAAGCTTGGAGCACAGTTGGGGAGTAGGTTGCTACCTCTGGCCAGCTTGCCAGGGCAGTCCTCCCAGCCAGGTGGCACCTTAGTGGCCTTGGTGAATGCCATCTGGCCACATGACCACACTACCTGCTCTGCCCCTTGCCTGACTGTGGCAGCAGCGTCTCTCTTCCAGCTCCTGAGGTCCCAGATTTCCATCCCAACAAGAGACCCCTCGGGCCCCTTCCTCATGTCTGTGGACCACTGTTTCTCCATCAAAGGCCAAGGCACAGTGATGACTGGGACCATCCTTTCGGGCTCTATCAGCCTTGGTGACAGCGTGGAGATTCCTGCCCTCAAGGTCAGTCTCATGTCCTTCCTTTCCATCTCCCTCTCTCGCAGTGAGGGGGAGAGGACAGTCCCTTTGCGCCTCTGTTGCTGAGCTTGCCCAAGCTACCCCTGCACCCCAAGGCTGGCCAGGGCCCTGCCAACTTCTCTGCCCTATTCTGTTCTCACTCCTGCTTCCCTCCCCTTGGGCTGTCCTGCCGCAAGTGGCTCCACAACCCCTCACTTTCCCAAGTGTCCTAACCACGCACCTGGATGGTGGTGTCCCGGGAAAGTTCTGGGTAGGTGTTCTTTACATGGATAAGACTCTGAGGCCCCAGGAAGACTCTGAGCTCACAGGTAACACCCAGGGACCCTGGCACCCCCACTCCACTGCAGGATGGACATAAGAGTGAGGTTATTTCTGGGTACCTTTTTCTCAATTACAAAGGTTGAAAATCATACAGTGCTTGAATTTGGTGGCTCTTAGTGTCATTCACTGAGGGAGAAATTCTGATCATTCCTTACTCCCTGTGGTCATGGCAGACACCACACCATCCTCCTAAGCCCATGGGAAGATGGGCATCTAGGGTCTCACCATTTCCCCCACTGGCCTGTATTGTGCCCTGGTCCTTACTTGACAGGCCTTGATAGCCCCTCTCAGAGGATTTTTCTTATAGGTGCAGTTTACAGGTCAAGGACGATGTAGCCTCCCTGACTCCCCTCCTGCTTCAGAAGGAAAAGGTAGGGACAAGGACTTGCCAAGAGCTGAGAAGGACCACCTCTGCAGTCCTTAAGGGGACCCAGGCCAGGGGCAGTGCCAGCTACAAGAGGTATTGGGTCAGTAGGCTCAACGTGGCTGCTGGTTGGAGCAGCTGTGTGGGATGCTGGGCCAAACCAATTGTCTGGTTCTCTGGAGAACAGGACCAGTGGGAAACATAGAGCTCTCGGTATAGGGATCTAGAGATACTGTGATGTCCACACCCCAAGAGCCCTGGTCAGTACCCCTCGTGGTCCACAAGTGTAGCTATGTGGAGAAATGTATGTATGTAGAACTGGCTCTCATGTTTGAGGGGCCTGGCGGGTCTGAAATTGGCAGGGTAGGGTAAGAATGTGGAAGCGTTGGTGAAGGTGCAGTTGGAAGGCCATTTTCTGGCTGATTCCTTCCTCTTCAAGGAGGGATGTGCTGTGCTCAAAGTCTATCAATTTAAATGAGAATTTCACACAAAAACCCTGTACTGAAACTCAGAATAATCTCTGAGCATGTAGCTGGGCATTGTGGCCCAGCCAAGTAGGCACAGAAAATGAAACGTGCTTCAAAGCAGGAGGGCTGTGATACCAGCGCCAGTCCAGGGCAAGGGAAGGGGAAAGGGCTGTGGCCGCCAGGCCTTGTGTGCGGACCTAGGGCAGGGACATGCATTGCGACAGGGAAAAATGGGGCTCCCCACATTGAAGAAAGCCTCAGGCTCCCTCTTCACTTGACAGTACTGTAGCTATTGTTTTCTCCTGTAGAGGTTAGAGGTATAAGGGAAGTCTCCTGAGAAAGGATCAACCAGAAAAAGAAAAAAAGTCTCGCTCCTGCCAGGTTTCACAACCCTGTGGGTGTGGCGGAGGAGTGGATGGCAAAGTGTTGCCTTTCACTAGGGTTAGACCCTGCCACACAGTTGATAATAACCTCTCCTCTATGCTATATCTTAGATCTCTCTCTCTGAAGACCTAGGGAAAAGACCACAAAATCACTTTTAATTCAAGAGCTAAACCTGTGAGTCTTAGAAAATAAAGCCTCAAATCATGAAAATAAATTTATATTTAACAGAAGTGAGATTACAGTTGTGACTGTGTGGTGATTCTTAGTTTGAACAGGAAAACAGATCAGTGCTAAAGTTCCTAACAGTCCCTGTGTTCCTCCAGCAGACCTCTAGGGGCCACCCTGACCCAGCTTCCCTGTCCCCTGGGAGACCCTGGGCAGCCTGGGAGAGGAGCTGGGAGTAGGAGAGGGGTGTCAGAGGGACTCGGTAGATTGAACTAGGGCGCCAGAGGCTCTCAGGGAAGGACAAGGTCTTGGACAAGAGGGGCAGTGGCTGCAGTGGCATGAGGAGAACTGAGGCAGATGGTGCGGGATGAGCAGGTGGATGCATGGGAAAGGGGACACATCCTGAGCTCCATGGCCACCATAGAAAGGTGGAGTGTTCTTGTCAGCTCCAGGTTACTGGTCCTGTACACATGGCAAATCCAAATTCGGCATGGCAGATACAAATTTCATCCCCTCTTGTTGTTTTCCTCCAGCCAACTGTGCAACTTTCTTGGCATCCACCACTGTCTGGTCCACTTTTGACTGGTCAAAAAAAGCAGGAACTGTAAGGGATGTCCTTGGATATTAGGCAAGAAGGTTGCCAGACAAAGCATGGAAGATGCAGCCTTGCGTCTCCTTTGCTTCTTGTAGCAAAATGTAAGGGGAAAGGAGTGGCTTGAGGGAGGAATTAATAGCAAAAAAGAATCAACACTTAAAGATTGGGGGAGGTCTTAGCCTATCCTATTGCAAAGTACACACGAGATAGGGGCTTCACCACTGACAGTTTGAAGTTGAGCCTAGTCTGAGCAACTTAGGGAGACCCTGTCTCAAAATAAAATTTTAAAACAGGACTGGAGAGAGAGCTCAGTGTGAAGACCCTATGTACCATTCCTCGTACCACACACACACACACACACACACACACACACGGATGAGCCTGCATGGTGCTGTCAGTGTGAAGACCCTGAGTACCATCTGTAGTACCACACATCACACACACACACACACACACACACACACACACACACACACACACACACACACGGCTGCATGGCGCCCCAGACCTATTAGCAGAGGCTAGAGAATGAGTTCAGAGGGCAGGGGCTATGGAACCAGAGCCTCTGTTTGCCCAGAGGGAAGAGAATCAAGCCACAGAGGGTCAATTTCAGGACCAAATTCAATTTTGCCCTGCTGGGCTCTAAACTTGCTTGGGACCCATGACCCTTATATTCCTTCACTGTCTTCCTTGAGGAATGGAAAGTCTGTCCACCTATCTTAGCATTGTAGTTTGGAAGCAGATGACTTGATTTCTGGGTGCACGTATACAGAGGCATTTTGCCCCAGAATAGATGATAGGTAGCACCCGTGCCTGGTTAGATGATTTAAATGATGAGATTAGAGACTTTCCAGACTGCTCTTTAAATGAGATTTTGGATATAGATAATGCTTTAATGGGTGGGATTTTTGAGATGTTGACTGGGATGCGTGTTTATTTTGGATGTGGAATGAATGTGAAGTTCTAGGGATCAGAGGGTGAACTGTAGTGCAGTGAATTGTGGCCCCTAAAAAAATGTCCATCCAGAAACTCAGAATGTGACCTTTTGGAATAAGGGTCTTTTGCAGATGTGCCTAAGGTGAGGACCTCTAATGAGAGCATCCTGGATTAGGGTGGGCTCTGAACTCAGTGGCACTTGTCTTAGTAAGGAGCAGAAGTGATTCCCAGAGAGAGAAGTCCACACCCGGGCAAAGGATGATGTCCTGGAGCCCCAAACCAAGAGTCAGTGTTGCTAGTGGCCATCAGAAACTGAGTGAGGTATGGATTTGATCCTCCCTCAGAGCCCCAAGGGGACCAGACTTGCCCATGAGTGGGTTTGGATTCTGGCTTCCAGGTCTGAGGAGAAGTTTCTGTTGTGAGTTGTCAAGTTCATAGCAAGTTGTTAGGTAGCCTTAGGAAACACATATGGCTTTTGGATGGGAAGGATTGGAATCGGAATAAACCTTGGTGTCCTTATCCTGGGAGTAGGCTTTGACTATCTATGGAAGAGTCACCTCAGCTTGTGGTACTACTTTAGCATTCAGAGGCTTTATAGGCTCACGCTTTATCGGGACACAAAACAACCAGATGGCAGAAGAGCCAAGATTTGAAGGCATGTGTCCAACTACAGGCTTCAGGCTTTGTCCTGAGGAGACACACTGGTTGTGTCTCCTCTCCTTTGGGAGGATCCAAAAGGTGGTGCCTGGAAGCCTGTGGGCACGCTGATGTGCCATGCAGAATGTGTCTGGTGTGGGTACCCATGTCAGAAGCCCCCGAGGCTCGGCTCTTTTGACCTCTCACCACTGCCCTTCTCTAGCAACGATTGGTGGCCATGCCTGTCAGGCATGAAGCTGTCGCCATGGACCTCTTCACAAGCATAGTGACGTCTCTGTCAGAATTCACTAATGGACTTGGACATATCTGACCGCTTGAACTCCCTAGGAGGCAGGACACAGCCATTCCAAATAAATAGTCGAGTTCTCTCTTAGCCTGGCTGGCCTGCTGGAGCCTGCCATACCCCAGCCTCTATTTCTGCTGCCTGCATCCATTCCCAGCTGTGACTGATTAGCTAAACAGGGAAATGTTGGGAACTGGGAGTAAATGAAGAAAAAAAAAAAAAAATCCACTTAGATCCTAGAATCGTTTAAACACCAAATATCCTAGAAGTCACCAGCTTTCTCCGCAGCTTTTTGGCTCCCTCATTACTCAGCTTGGGAAATAGACCTTGGAATTTTAAGCTAACGATGTTCCTTGTGGTGATCAGCAGTCAGGATTATAACATCAGAAGTAGTGAGAGCCACTGACTGCAGAGATAAGGAACCTCTGCTCCTCCAACTCAGCTCATGCATAGGATGAGGCTGTATGCTCGGCGCTGTCTGGGGCTCTGAAAATGGACCAGAGGGTATGATGTGGACTAACTCGTGCACTAGGAGACAAGCAAGTCCTAGCTGCCATGCTTGTCATCTCTCTTGTTGCCACTTGACACTGTTTTTATGTGGAATCTTTGCTGGGGGTGCCAGAAGTCATAATGTAGGGCCCTTTCCGATGGTAAGGAAATGCCTTTAATAATCTAGCCAGTGTTGTGGTGGTGATAAACACTAACAGATTGGATTTCTTTTTAGTGGATAAAACATTTAGAGAAAAGTTCAGAATTTGATAACAGAATTCAAGTAAGGTCCATGTTCAGGTTTTCTTCTTTATTAGAAAAAAA